CAAGGAGTAAAAGAGGATTCTGGGAAATGTAGTAGAGAAGTGGTGATCCAGGCAGGAAGTGACATAGCAAGGAGACTCATTCTCAAGGAGCTAGGAGAAACAGGAAGTGTCGTCTTTCCCCCTTCGCCTCCTCCAGCAGCAGGATGTGAGCCACCGGCAAAAGAGGGCGCCAGCCAAAGGCATCCTCTATAAGTCTTATAAAATAAACAGATGTATGATAATTGAGACTGAGATAACAGATGAGAATCCTAGTCATTGGCCAAGCAGCATTTGAACCTAATACAAGTTTCTGTGTATTCATTTGGGCCTAACTCAGGTGGGCGGCTGGCGTAAAGCGCACACGTGGCAGTGGGGTGCAGTGGCTTTTGGCAGAAAGATTTATTGTAACACAAACCCCTCAAGCAAAATTACCCAGTAAGGGTCTTTGGAAAGTGTGTGTTTGTGTGTGTGTTGACTACAAACTGGTGCAGTGAAATTAGCAAGGTCATGTGTTGAGGGCAGGAGTATGAACAGTAGGATATGTTCTGCTCCTGGCTAAAAAGGTCCAGTGGGTGGTCAAGGCGCCTCTAGAACAGGGTTATGTAGTTTTTCATATTCATAAATACACACACACACACACACACACACACACACACACACACATACACATACACACACACACACACCCACACACACACACACACATGAAGTTTCTAGACTGAGTCGAGTCTAGGTGGTTCAGAAGCTCCCTTGATTATTCTGCTGTAAAATCTTAATCACGGCCCAGCTGTTGCCCTTGCTCAACACGAGGAGCTGTAGTTAGCTACCCTTTCCCTGTCACAAACCCTGCCTCTCTCAAGGCACCAGCTAGGGCCACAAGCACCCCTCACACCAGATTGCTCTCTGACACTGTGATAAGACACTCTGACCAAAAGCAACTTGGGAATTGGGTTTATTTCAGCTTATAACGCCATGTCAAAATCCCATCACTGAGGGAAGTCAGGGCAGGAATCTAGAGGCAGAAACCTCACACAGTGACATGTGCTCAGCTAGTTTTCTTACACAGCCCAAACACATTTGCCTGGGACAATCTCTCACAGGTGACACCAAAAGCCATTCTGAACTGGGCAGTTTCTCAGCTGAGGTTCTTTCTTCCCAGGTGACTCCAGGTTGTGTCAAGCTGACAATATGATTAACCAACATGAGAGTACAGTGGCTCTCTTCGGTGTGGAGTCAACTAAAACTTGATGTAGAATTCATGGTTGTCAGGAGATGACTCCTGTCCCCTCCGTCTCTATTCCCACTTCTTCAGTGTCAGTTCCAACCTCTGGCTCCACATTGTCACTGATGACTGTGGCAGTTTATGTAACTACACTCCTTCTCCTTCACGCCCCTCTGAGAGAATAAGAGGGTCACTCCCAAGATGCCTGGCGAGTGTACGGTTGCATGTCATTGGCTTATCCCTCAACTAATCATGGTGACCAAAAGAAAGTGACCCTAAAGACCTGCAACAGCAACTGTGTTCCATAACAGTTCCCCGGGGCTCCCCAAGGGGGTCTGCTTCTGCTGATTTAGAATGCTCTGCACTGAAGCAAGGGACTATGTGGACAGTTCAAGGACTTCTACACTGAAATTAATAATCAGGGGCCCAAAGTATTCACATAGCTCCCTACTAGCCAGGTGACTCCAGGGGAACCAAGCAATAAATGGTGTTCTGGCCCATGTCTGGCTCACACGGGCCTGCTGTGCTCAATACTGTCCAGGGTTCTCACGTTTCCCATTGGAATGGACACACTTAGTGGTTAGCAGAACAGAGTGTTTGCATTGGTTCCTTGATCTGTGGGGTAAGATACTGTAGGGAGAAGAGGCCAAACAGAATTCTATGAACCTATCCAAAACCTGACCAAGGAGTCCATTAATATTAGGACTGCTACATGGGAGGAAATGACATAGTTTAGCATCAACCTGAAACACTATTTTAGTATAAAGCTAGTGGTGGTCGATCCCAGCACTCAGGAAGCAGAAGCAGGCAGATCTCTGTGAGTTCAAGGCCAGCCTGGTCTACAGAGCGAGTTAACTCCCCAAATTAACTAAGATATGCCTTTGCGGTTTTTTTTTGCTTTTCTGCTTTACTAAGATTTAAAGACTATAGATAAGTAGCCCATAATTTCTGCCATAACTGGGTAGTTGTTGCTTTATTATGTGGCAAATACATTTCTATTTATAAAAATCAGAAATTAGCATCTCAAGCTCTGAAATCTATGTCAACACATGAGAAAAATAAGCCAGACTTTCCCCTTCATGTCTCTGTAATTCACAAACACATAAAAAGAAAGGAGAGGAGAGGGCGGGATTACTATAAGTGTATAACCTAAAAATAACTCCCCTCCCTCCAAAAATAATGCCCAGCAAAAAAAGAGGTAGAAAGTAGATTATTAGAATAGGCAAGAAATCTATCCCGGTGTCTAATACTGGAAGATTCCAGTGACTTCAGGCTCTTAAAGGAACCACCATGGACAGTTCCATGAGGACTGCATCCACAGGGAGACCAGCCAGGTCTTCCCACATAACCCCTGCAATAAAAGGCACCCTACTTGCAATTGTCGAAAGGTGTGAAGTTCCCGGGGTGGACAGCTGGGTTTATCAGTAAAGGGTAAATCCATGAATGCCTGTGGTCAGCTACCTTTCTCCACTGGTAAAATTCAGGACCATGTGACTAGGGAACGGTACCACCCATACTGGATGGGTCTTCCACCTCAACGCAATCAAGACATGCTCCACAGACACTCCCATAGGCCAATCTGATCTAGACCGTCCCTCACGGAGACCCTCGAGTGTGCCAAATTTTAATTTGAAACAATCACAGCAGTGTTTGGAATCAAACATTCATGGGCCTGCCACACACTGACCATGAGACTTTGAACAACCAATTTCCAATTTCCTCATCTGTAAAGTGGGATTAGTAGGCCAGGCCGTGGTGGTGCCCTTGGTCCCAGCACTTGGGAGGCAGAGGCAGGCGGATGTCTGTGAGTTTGAGGCCAGCCTGGTCTACAAAGCAAGTTCTAGGGCAGGCTCAGAAGCTACAAAGAGAAACCTGTCTCGAGAAACCAAAAAAGGAAAAAGGGATTAGTAATAGCCCTTATTTGCGTGTTTACAGCAAATATTTGATGACGTCATACACCTGGGAATTATCTACCACAACATATCAGCATCAACAGTGTCACCTCCATCCTCATCATCACCATCATGTGGGATCATTTTACAGGAGGGACGGAGGAAGTACAAGGGTGGTGGCTCCATCGTGAAATAACCCACAGGCTGACAGCATGCTGATCGCCACGAATCCACTCATAGTGATTCCATGTCCTAGATCTCTGATTTCAAAACAATATGATCAGTGTTGCCAACCAACTGACTGGAGATTAGAGATTTGATGCTTTATTTAGGGTTTAGAAGAAAAGACTGGGTATTACAATCCTAATTGTTTGCCAATTAAATCCAACAGCCATCACAGCAGCATACACAAAACAGTGAGTGTCTTCCTAATCAAACTGTTTGCATTCTCATTGAGAAGTGTCTGAAATCTGTGATTCCATTAACTGAAAGGATTCTTTGTCCTCATCCAAACGGAGAGAGCATCTGCTCCCTAATAACGACGCCACGGGAAAAACAGCCTCAGAAATCATTTTGTATTTCCTTCTATGGATAAATTTGTCAAACTTGGTAACTTTGTAGGGTTCTCTCCAGGGGAAAGATAAATTTAAATCCATCAAAAAGTGTTGCTTCTAAACCAAATTGCTCCCAAAGTGTTTTATTTGCATATTTCAGACTATGACTGAACCATAGAGATCTAGGGTTTATTCATCCAACAGGATACGGGTTAGTGTCCTGGTTAATTTTTATGTTAACATGACACAAACTAAAGTCATCTGGGAGGAGAGAACCACAACTGAGAAATGGGGTCCATAAGATCGGGCTGTAGGCAGGTCTGTGGGGTGTTTTCTTAATTTATGATTTCGGGTGGGGTCATCAATGGGCTGGTGGCTCTGGGTGCTGTAAGAAAGCAGGCTGATGCATGGGACCGAACTAAGCCCTCTGCATGTGGGTGACAGTTGTGTGGCTGGGGGGGGGGATGCTGGCAGTGGGACCACGGTCTATCCCAGGCATTTGAGATGGCTTTTTGGAGCTCATTCCCTATGGTGGGTTGCCTTGCTCAGCTCTGATGCCCTGAGGAGGAGCTTGGTCCTGCCTCAACTTGATGTGCTAGGCTTCCCTGACTCCCCATGGCAGGCCCTATCCTTCCTGGGGCGTGGAAGGAGAGTGGGGGAAGGGAGGAGCAGGAGGGGAGGGATGGGAAACTGTGGTTGGTATGTAAAATAAATTTAAAATTTTAAATAAATAAATAAACCCAAAAAAATCCCAGTTGAGCAAGCCATCACGGCCAAGCCAGTAAGTAG